TTATACAATTTGAAAAGTAAAAGTTCTGGAGATGTTGTATGGTCCAAATATAAATTTATTAAAATAACTTTCTCTAGGTCGGTGGGTGATTTCTGGAGTATCCAAAAACACACCCGTACAGTCCGATGCCTAGTTCCTAACTGATTACCAAACATGTAGAACCGTGATACATTGACAATTAACACAATAAAGTTAATTTGATCGACAGCTGTCACTTATCTCTCTATTCTGACTGGTGAGTACCCGAACAGGTAAGGCAATTAGCCTGTCCTTTGTCCGAGACTTAGTGTCATACTTGATAAGACCAGTTAATCTCATTACGTAACATAATTGACTTGAAAGGTATAATGTATAAGATGGACACCAATATTACATGAGTTAATCTGACGACAATGAATCAAAGAAGCTACATTTACACATAGAGGTTTTCTTAAATGGTAAAAATGTAATTAAATAGCTTTTAGGTATGAAATTGTTACTGAACGAAATTAAATGATAGTACGTCGGTATATACATTTTTGTACCAATCACCGGTGAACTAGGGCATTGTAATCTGATGCTATCTTCAGGCGAGCCTACAAAGCAAAGTGCGGCCTTCATAGATATTTACAGGTCCGCAAAGAATTATTCCCGAATATATTTCATTTGCAAACGAGCAAGCCTATGGTTCTGATGAAAGGTGAACATTTTCTGCCCTTGACGATATTTAACTTTGATAAATACTGGACGTTAAGTTAGTGTATCAAAATGCCTTTAACCGCGGTATACTTTTTGAGTGGAGATAAAAAAAAAGACTTAAAATATGATCTTACAAGACAACGTTTTTGACTGGTCGCATCTGTTCACAGAATCATTATTTAAGACAAGGCAAGATGAGCGAATAACCGTGAACGTGTAAATCACATTGTGGAAACNGGAAAAAAAATTTTAAAAAAAAAAAAAAAAAAAAAAAAAAAACAGCAGACTGCTTCTTCAATTCTTTCACTATAGACCAGATCATGATCGTATGTGTCGTGATTCACGTTTCTAATTATGTTCTATTTTAAGATCCCAATGACAATGCGTTGTGTTCATAATGTGTGGTTATGGTGATATTGATCATTTGAATTTAATGTTTACTTAAGCAGAATAATAATTCTCTTATATACTGATTTAGTACTCAGCAGTGCTATATGGTTTATGTCTAACGGTAATATGATGGTTTATATTTATTTTTATTTTTGAATAAAATTAAAAACCCATTTAATATTGTTTTAAAAAAGGTTTCTTTTTACATTTTCAACTATGACTTATCTCCATATGGCCTGGTGGATTTTAGAATAAAATCCATTGTTATTATTACTAAAATTCTTCAATACAGTGGTAATTTATTCTTACGATATTTGAATGTTGTATACTGAGTCATATGTATGTAGATTTACTTGTGTGTACCTCAGGTTTCAGCAAGATTTATACATGAAATACATATATTTTTGTATTCATTTTAGTAGGCAAGCATTTCCTACGTCTTTCCTGTTATACCATTGCACAATTGGGCTGCATGATTAGTGCAACTTACTACCATTCATAATATTGTTTGTATTGTATGAATTAATCTTTTGATATGTATTACTACAGCTGAAATCATTGCATGGTTGCTCTGTTTCTTCAAGTTAATTATTATAGTGTATGTTGTGTATTTCACACCACTGTATGACTATATTGTATGACTACGTGAAACGGGTTCTACTCAATGTTTGATTGTATTGTAAGACTTATGTAACAGTAATTCTGTCGATACTGTATAATGTATAGTGTGATGCTTGTAATACTGTTTATTACAATGATTGCTTAGTACGAGAAGTGTATTACTGTCTATACTATTATTTGATAATGTAGTTTGGGGAGTGTAAATATCTCTATTATATCAATGTGTGATGTAATGTATGATTAGTGTTATACTGTCTATCATCATAATTATCACCGTATAATGACTGTAATAGTACCTATTAGATTGTTGTGTTGCCATGATGTTATACAAAAATATACTATATATTCTATATTTCATCCAGGAGATTCTAGTTGAGCATGACTACTGTCTATTGCGTGTACTTATCATGACATTGTAAATAATTACACTTTATATGTATTAAATGAATTTATTATTTTTAATTGTAACAGTTGCTGGTAGCAGTGACCTGTGCAATATATGCACATGGACTTTTGGTCTAAGCCTGCCAATATCTGTCTATGATAGTGTATATATATGCTGAAATAAATGTATTTGTACATGTACTTGTATGTGTGTGTAAGTGTGTATGAGGTGTGTGAGATGTTTCCTTTATGAGTTACTTCCCCCTTAGCCTTGTGTTATTATGAATTATTTTGTGTTATTTTTTTCATTTGCAACATGTCTAAAATATTATGTCTCCTTGTTTATTCAACTTTGGCCTTTTGACGGAGAGAATTTATATAGGCTTTGCCTGTTATTCAATCCAATTGATTATGACATCTTGTCAATAAAAGTTGATGAAATGAAAATTACTACAGCTGAAATCATTGCATGGTTGCTCTGTTTCTTCAAGTTAATTATTATATTGTATGTTGTGTATTTCACACCACTGTATGACTATATTGTATGACTACGTGAAACGGGTTCTACTCAATGTTTGATTGTATTGTAAGACTTATGTAACAGTAATTCTGTCTATACTGTATAATTTATAGTGTGATGCTTGTAATACTGTTTATTACAATGTTGTATGATTGCTTAGTACGAGAAGTGTATTACTGTCTATACTATTAAATGATCATGTAGTTTGGGGAGTGTAAATATGTCTATTATATCAATGTGTGATGTAATGTATGATTAGTGTTATACTGTCTATCATCTTAATTATCACCGTATAATGACTGTAATAGTACCTATTATATCATTGTGTTGTGTTTATAGTACTTTATGGTATGATGCGGGTACTATTATCATTCTCTCATGTGTGTGTCTGTCCATGTGCATGTCACTATGTAAGGGTGTGACCTAGTCCGAATTATTCTGAAGTTTTATCGACTTTTTTCATATCGGTCTGTCGTCGGTTAGTCGACGACAGACCGATATGAAAAAAGTCGATAAAACGTCAGAATAATTCGGACTAGGGTGTGACCATGATTGTGAATGCATTTTCTTCTCTTTCAATAGTGTTGAATTGTACGTGTATTGTTCGTTATTTCTGTAACTCTTCATTTCTGGAGGAAATAAAGGAAACAATAATAGACCAGATCGTGATCGTATGTGTCGTGATTCACGTTTCTAATTATGTTCTATTTTAAGATCCCAATGACAATGCGTTGTGTTTATAATGTGCGGTTATGGTGATATTGATCATTTGAATCTAATGTTTACTTAAGCAGAATAATCATTCTCTTATATTCTGATTTAGTACTCAGCAGTGCTATATGGTTTATGTCTAACGGTAATATGATGGTTTATATTTATTTTTGAATAAAATTAAAAACCCATTTAACATTGTTTTAAAAAAACGGTTTCTGTCTACATAATAGTTGTGTATCATTTTATGGTCATGTTAAACAATACAACCTGTGTTTCGCTCCCAATGTCCATAAATTTACCTGTGGTTCGAATTCCCGAGAACACCGACGTTACAGTAAGTACCTCTCAAACAAAAGCATGAGCAGGGGAGATAATCCTTGTAAATAAAGTTCCTATCTACACAACAGGTGTACGGAATTTTAACAAAGGATTTTCACATGTCTTTATTTCACGATTCAGAAATATATAAATACCACTACGTATGTGCCTTGTAGTGTACATGTGTGTATAAGATACGTATCCTTAAGCTTACCGATAACATGTATACAGAACATTTATAACAGAAATCACAATATTCATGTTTATTACCACGGACTTAGATTTCCGTGATATTACTCGATGAATTATTTGGCAGCACGTTTATGTTTTCTTTCAAGATGAATGCAACCGTGCGATGGTGCGATTAATATCTTCATCAGTGAAATTGTTTGAATGGCGAAAAATGCTTACCTGTTGTGCATTCATTACTATGACCATAGACCAGCTTTTAGTATATATTGTTATTCATGTTATTGTCTGTTTACTCGTCTTTAAAAAATAAACACCTATTTTGCCGTAGATTTAATTGTTATATGTACGCAAAAGTATACTATTGTATGTTTTTTTACTTAGGCTGAATTCTGGGTTAGAAAAGTATTTTTTCTGTGTATACTTTTGGTGTTGAGGTTAAAATGTAGATCACCCTGTTCGTTTATAAATATAAATCCACCTGTATAAAATAGAGACTGTTATATACCCGTCTTCTCTCCCTTACACATACATACTAAGCCACGAGGTGTATTAACTACCAAGTAAACCTGCACTACAGCACTACACAAGAATGCCCGTGAATCAGATCAAGCTCGGCCATCTAACTAATCATAAAATATAAATATTCTACACCTTTCGTCATTGTAATCAAGGTTTAAATTATTAATAAAAGAATTGCCATTAAAATTGAAAATGTGAATATCTTACCTTCAAACACGATTTGAACCGAGTACTCCAGTTCGACTGCAATATGTCAGTTATAAAACCACTAGGCTATATTTAAACAACTGGCAAGCCGGTCAAATTACAATGGACACAGTGGTGGTAGAAGGCGTGGACGTACACACATATGTGTCGTCAGTCAGTTGGGGCGTAGCTGATGTATATATAAATACCCGGCCTTGAACTATACACAATGCAACACGGTGCTAGGGACACCTGGAATTTCGCTAGGCGTTATTGATCAGTTAGGGTGCGAAATGATCATGTGCCTATGATTAATTATAAGTAGTATTTCGCAATGCATTGATACTTCGTAATTCACATTATTTTTAGGATATGTTCACACAGAATGGCAGACACACGGTCAAATTCTACGTCAAACATGTAAAACTAAATCTCACTATAAGTAACATGTCCTTTTCTTTACTTCATCCTGCTGATGGGGTTAACATGATGCATGTAATACTGTTCGTTTTCTGTTGTCTTCTACCATCGATTAGTCCCTTGTATGTAGCTCGCTGTGTGCTATTTTCGATGGGTTTTTTTTAATAATGGTCACAAGTTTGTTCTGTGATTTAGCCACTCCGTAAACCGTATAACTTTTTCTGATTTCTAAGAAAGTGACACAAACATTGATTTTGTTGTCGGATGCAGAAGTTTTATCCTTCGACTAATTAAACTTATGACCGACTTCAACAGGTTACAGTTTATGTCATGTTTGTGGCGTCACATGAACTGAAATTAAAGGGAACGGAAAGATGTGTATCAAATACAGTATTCCAAAAGTGACTCACACTGCATCATACAGCTGCCCCATCGTTCTCGGACTCATTGGTGATGCTAGGGGCCTTAACTACTGTTCAAACATAAGGGGCAGGAACCATTCATATTTGAAAGAAGAGATTGTTGTTTTAAAAGAGGATAGGTCGAGTAGCTGCTTATATAATTTTTGATGGAAGTTTATGTTAATCGTTGGTTGTCGGGGGAATAAATTGCATCTTTCCTCGCGGACATTCTGCAGGCAATAGTTTGGAAGTAATTTTGATAAGAATGCTTTGATTATCTATTGTTGGGGACCAAATATGTGGAAATAGATGGAAACCATGCTATCACATATTTTATAGAGCATGGCCAGTCTCATCCTCGATACCAGGTCCTGGAATATGTCATAGCAAAATTGAAGGTACGAATATGGCTGTTTGATTGGTTTCAGGTAATAAAAACTGACCAACCGCTAGGCTGGTATCTGTCCTTTGAAGATTACAAAGGAGAGACGCCCGACCTCAAAGCCTGTCAATTTTTACCGTTACGTGACCGCGAGATTCTTTTGATGTTCATCAAAGGATCGACCTAGTAATCTTGTCTCATCAACAAGGTGGCGCACCCCGAGCCTTCAATTTTGCTGTGACATATTCTAGGGATGTAGAGAACGAAAGTGAGCGTAACCCCTGGATATCGAGGATGGGTCCGTCTCGCATCTTTCCAAGATCTGCAAGACCGCTTGTTTTCGATTATATCACGGTAGCTTCATTAAAGGATTTTGGCCAAGATTTTGCAAATTTTGAAAAAAAACGACATTTGTAGCACAGTTCAATAAATAACCAAATAGCCCATCAACGAGCAATCACTTATGCCCTGGTATCTGGACATTCACAGTCAAAGTTGATCGCTCCTTTAATGATCGATTGATTGATTGGTTATACGTCCGCTTCACTACCGAGTAATTCGATTATCCAACAGAAGAAGAAGAAAAACAGGAAAATGAGTTATAGGGATAAAACCCTGGTTTACTGATCATTTAAAAAATTTGCGTAAGCAGTATTTGGATGCATTGCATAGTTTTAATAGTAACAAATGTCATACTACTCATGCTGTTCTTATTAGTAAGGAAAAGGATAATAAAAAAGGAAGCTAAGTCTAAAAGGCAATACTTGCTGAAGGTGACATGCTGGAACATATGAGAAAACACAATCCTAGGTATTTTTACAGAAAGTTTTCTAAGAAAAATGGTAATTCGCCATTATTGACAGGCGAGCAACTATATGATTATTTTAAAAATTGTCAAATGTATATGTATGATGAAAACTCGACGCACCGATTCTTTTTAATGAAGTAAGATCTGCTGTTCGAAATTTAAAATGTGGCAAAGCGCATGGACTGGATGGTTTGTTAAATGAATGCTTTATTAACTGTGAAGAATTACTCCTTCCCAATTTGTATATGCTATTTAACAATATTTTAGAAGCCGGGTGTTTTCCTGCAAATTGGTCATGATCATCTGCTATTATTATTTCTGTTACACGTAATGACCCTAATAACTTTCGAGGCATCAGCTTAATAAGCTGTCTTAGTAAACTTTTTACTTCTATACTTAATAAACGTATTTCAGATGTTTGTACATAATATGATATTTTAACAGATGCTCAATTAGGATTTCGTCCGGAAGTGAGTACGATAGATGCTATATTTGCATTACATATTATTATAACAAAAACATTGTCATCTAGGAAAAGATATTATTGTTGTTTTGTATATTTTCACAAAGCGTTTGGTTTTTGTTGACAGGTTAAGCTTATGGCGCAAGTTGACTAGGCTTGGTATTCGAGGGAAAATGCTGTATGTTATTAAGTCGCTTTATAAATCAGTCAAATCCTGTGTTTCAATTAATGGGAAATGCTTTTTGAAAACAGTGTCGGTTTATTGCAAGGGGAAAGTTTGTCACCATTACTGTTTTCACCTTTTATCGATGATTTTGAAATGTCCTTTATTGGAAACGGTGCAACATATTACGACGTCGGTGAGATAAGTTTGTTTCTGTTAATGTACGCAGATGATTTGGTTATTTTTTCGGAATCTGTGCAGGGCCTGCAGACTCTTCTTGATAGCCTTTTTGAATACTCTACAAAATGGAGTTTAACTGTAAATACGAGGGAAAAAATTGTAGTTTTTAGAAAAGGTGGAAGATTACATAATGATGAGAAATGGTATTTACAAAGGAAGTTAAGTCGAATGTGTGGATCAATTTTCTTACCTACATGTAGTATTGTGTATGTTAGTAATTGTTATACCTTTTGATATCTTAAATTTCTGTCAATCCAGCAAAATGTGTGAAACGATGACAATAGTTAGCCCATAGCAAGGTACTTTAAACCTCAATTAATTTAACAATCATTGTTCTCAAAATTGTTCATACTCTTAAACTACATGTAATATAGCCAATCTATATCACCTGTCTATCATAACAATGATTAACAATGGCGGCTATTTAGTAGGACGTGACTGTTCAGTCCGTAATATTTTTCGTCGTTTATGGTCGTTCTACCTTGAAAGTTGGGTCAAGATCGAGTGAACAAGTGTGGGACATTCTAGTTGTTAAGTATGCTGTTGAAATTTTGAAATTTCATGCGTATTTGTTCGATTTTAAGCATGTTCTGTAAACTCATCCCTGCAAATATTGTGTTTAGTGTGTGCAATGAACTGTGACTACGTATAGAACATATATTGTACACGTACGGTGCCCATGCACGATATTGACACAAGGTTGAAGGCAATAGAATTTCAAGTTAAGAAAATAGATGACGTCCAATCATCGCTATTGTCGATGTCAAGGAGAGTCCGTGAGGTCGAGGTCAAGGTTAGTGATATTACTAAAGTCACTCAAGAGCTGAAAGACAGTACCCAGTGTATCAGTGATATGTACGAGCGTATCAGTACTTCTGTGAATAAAAACAAGGAGGATATTGTGAAAGTAAACGCCAAGCTTACAGCCAGTGTCGATCAAGCTGTTGGAGCTACGGAGGGATTTCAGCTTCAGAATGCCGAACTTCAGGAGGTAGTTACTGACTTACAATGCAGATCAATGAAATGGAATCTAGTGTTCACGGGATTACAGGAAAACCGAGGGGAGGATACAGAAGCCCTCATTCGACAGTTTATCTGCAACGAACTTTGGATAGATGACGTTCAGGAATTCGGTAACGTACACCGGTTTGGTAAGCGTCGAGGTAACAAACCTCGCCCTATAGTCGCTCGCCTCCTATATCAGCGTCAACATGACGACGTTTTAAGACATGCTTTTCGTCTGAAAGGCAAAGTGTTCGGTATCCACAAGCAATTTCCAGCAATCATTGAGGAGGCAAGGAGGAACCTTTATCCAGTGGCTAAGGCAAAGCGAAGGAATGGGCACAAAGTAAGACTTGTATGTGATAAGATGTTCGTCGATGGTGTTTTGTACACGGGCGAGACGAGTTCCCAAAGGATGGAATCACGTGTTCAGCCTGCTGCACCCATGAATGTAGAGGAAAGCAGGTCGAAGAGATCGCGCAAGCCGTTAACTACAAACGGAATAGGATCATCAACTTCCGGTTGTCCACCGTCACGTCGGGCTAGATACGCTGTTGGCCAGGATAGGCAAGGTCCTCATGCGGGTTGTGATGAGGAACAGACCTACGCCAAATCTGTTTCCGCATAGGGCTCACAGGAGAACATATCCCAAATTAATATATGCTCTTGGAACGTTCATAGAGGCATAGAAATAAAATTATAGATGATAATTTTCTTTATATTTTTCAAGATTCAGATACTGTTTTTCCAAGTAAATGTTGTTAAATAATTAAGATAATTTCAATGTTAAAGGTTTCGATTTTTTTCCACCTTTCAAGAGAAGTAAATGTAAAGGAGGTGGCATGATATGTTTATTTAAATCATGGCTGACAGAGCATATAAAGCTGAAAGAGGTAGTATCTGATAGTGTTTTGTGGATAAAGCTAGATGGCAAGCTCTTTTTTGACAATATCGATACATATCTCTGTTTTGTATATCTTCCACCAGAAAGGGCAACATTCTATGACAGTTATGATGTCAATATGTTTGATGTATTGGAAATTGGAATTGCCAAATTCAGCTGTATGGGTCACGTATTTATCACGGGTGATCTCAACAGTAGAACTGGTAGAGAGTCTGACTTTATTCCATTTGATGTTCTACATGATAGGTCACATCAGGTTATAGATAATGTGATACCCTATGAAGATGAAGTTGATGAAAGTGTTCGTAATTCTGAAGATGTTTTTGTTAACCACTTTGGGCGTCGTCTTTTGTAAATGTGTAAGACTACCGGTTTTCGAATATTAAATGGTCGGACGACTGGTGATATCGAAGGTAAATTTACGTTTTATAACAAGTACAAT